TGTCCTAGTGCCGGGTTGTGGCTGGGAATTGGGAGGCAAACCTTGCACGCCACCCTGTAGGGGCAGTTCTCTCCCAGGCCCAGAGGAGGCGAGATCACCCGTACTAATGTGTACATATCCTTATACGGGATCCTGCCACTGGAAAGGAAGCACAGGTGGGTTAATAGGGCTACTCAGGAAAGGGGAGGAAGAGGGATGAAGGGGGGTCACTGGCAGCACCAGAAATGTGCGTCCTCCTCACTCCATCTCCACCTAGGAAAAGGCTTTGGATACTCCCCCCCCCCAGTGAAAGTAGAGTTATTGTCTTCTTCTTGCCAAATATGTCCCTGTGGGAGGGGGTGGCTGACTTGCTGGGAAGGCAGGTTATGCCTGGGTTAAAAACAGTCTGGATTCCCAAGGCTGGGATCAGGAGACACCTGCTAAGAACACTTTGTCTGACTCTGGTTCTTGGCTATCGACTGTGCGCCTGGGAAGACCCACCCCGGGGAAATGCAGCCGGGGAAGCCGGCCAGGGAGTCAGATTATTTACTTCCTTCATACCCCGACTCTTTCCACAACGGGAACCCAAAGTGGCTTAAATAGAGTTGTCTGATGCTGAGGAGCAAAGTCTAGTCGATTCCTGTTTTACACTTGCGGAAAGTGACCAGCAAAGAGAGAAAATAGATCGTCAGGGTTAAATACAAGACGGGAATCCAAACTGGGTGGTTTCCAGATGAATGTAAATCGCATTCAAGTCAGATCTGTAATGAACACATAGAGGGTAGAATCACAGGTGCATTCCCTGCTTCCGTCTCTATAGCCTGTGTGTCATGTCTGCATGGATTCTACAACTTTACATGTAGGGTATCTGCATGACTTGGGAACTCTGGCACAGTTGAACACTCCAGGCAAATCTGTCTGTTTGTCTGTTGTATATTTTTGTCTTCCTCTATGGAGTTCAGGATGGCATACACTGTTCCCCTATTTTATTGATGCAACATCCCTGTGAGGCAGGCTAGGCTGGGATAGATCACCTAGTGGTCACCCAGTGAGATTCATAACCGAGAAGAGATTTAAAATTGGGTCTCCCAGGTCATACAGGAACCACCACACAACATAAACACACTAAAAAAGAATTGAATTGCTTAGTTGACGCATGCCAGGAGGAAGAAATCCCCATCCCTTCCGCTTTGCATCAATTAATTGATTGACTAGTTAAAATATTTATATGCCTGCCTTTCTACTGAGCATCTTGGGACCCAAGGCAGATAGTAAGTTTGTGCTGATTTTATAAAAGGAGAGAACCATCCTGAACCGGTCTACTCAGAATCCCACTCAGGTCTTATCAATGAGACTTACTTCCAGGAAAGCGGGTTTTCTGTATGTGCTGGGTTTTTTTTAGGATCCCTCTGCTACTCTCCACATTCCTCCAGCAGTTTGTATAGCTGGGAAATAATACTTTCGCTTCTACAGGGCTGATATCAAGAAGTTCACGACATGGGCCCAGTTTTAATCCTGTTTCCCCATTTTGGCCTAGTTCAAAATGTTCTTCCTTAGAAAAAAAGATTTTCCTGCATAAAACTAGTAAAAGCTACCGGGCAGAACCCAAGGCTCATTTTCTGTAAGCAAGAATTTTTGAAATGGAGGAACATTCAATTGTATGAATTCCTACCAACAGTCTGAAGTGATACAGCCCAGATGCAGCTTTAGCAACTTGCTAAATTAAGCCTGGCCAAATCACGGGCCTACAGTAGCTCACTTCCCTTCAGTCTAATGCCCATCTCCTAGATCTAGCTGAAGAATGGAAGGGTATTAAAAGCTGGCAGCTAAAACAAGAATTCATGTGAGAAATAGGATACTGCGCCCCCCTTCCGGCCCGTGGGCCGATTAAGCACAGTAGCAAAGTACCCAAAGAGAAGGTGAGCCTCCCTAACTCTGATTTTACACAGCAAGACTTGATGGCTCTTAAAAACAGGTTTAGCCGAAGACAAGTTAATGGGCTTGCTGAGCTAATAACGGCTGGAAATGTAATGGACTACATGGCGGGCGGGCGGGGGAAGGAGGAGAAAAGGCAAGCGTGAAAACCCCAATTATCTTTCTTTTTCTTTTACTTTAAAATCAGAAACCCACAAATCATTAGACAAAACAATATGGGATTTCCTGCTTTAAATGAGACATGATGTTTGAGCCAGGGAAAGAACAGTCAACCCCCTTCGTAAAGGAGGGAACAGATCCCAGGAGCACAGACTTCGTTTTCATGTGTGGCGCTTTGGATGCCCTTAATTGTGGCTTGGTCTTCTAGAGCCAAGAGACGGTTTAATCTATTTCACCCGTGGCATTCAAGGAAACAGACACTTGCCAAGGAGCACCTGCCAAACCGTGGTGGGGGATCTGTGCGTCTTCACAGGATCCCTGCCGCGGGGGACAGCGATACGCGTTGCACCACGATCGCCAGGATGTGACGCTACGCGTCACATCCTGGCGATGGTGGTGCAACGCGTATTGCTGTCCCCCGCGGCAGGGATCCTGTGAAGATGCACGGATCCCCCGCCGCAGCTTGGCAGCCCTAGCTCGTGCCACTGGTGATTTCTCTAGGCTAGAAAATCAACTGTAGCCCTGTTTAGAATAGTGGAACCTTTGCAAACCTTTATCTGTCTGCTTGACGAGATGCACTCCAGAAATTATTCTGCCGTGTCATTTCATACCCTTGTGTGTGTTTGGGTGTAAAGTGACATCAAGCTATAGCCACCTTATGGCGACACTGTCGGATTTTCAAGGCAAGAGACATTCAAAGGTGGCCTGCTGTTGCCTGCCTCTCCATAGCGACCCTGGACTTCCTTGGGGGTCTCCCATCCAAGGACTAACCAGGGCCGACCCTCCTTAGCTTCTAAGATCTGGCCTGAGCCATCCAGTTCAGGGCAACCATCCCTACGTTCACGCCATTGTTACTTCTGGTTAACACTGGTCTAAAAGCGGAGCCATGAACCCATGCAAGGATTAGAAGTTCGTAACAGGTGCTGATCTAAAAGCAAAGCCTGTATTTAGGAGCATAATGTGCGTCTGAGCTTCCACGGCTGTACCATTTCAGGATGCGGGTAGGGACTCTGGTGTCTGAATGCCATCAAAGTAATCTATCTGCATATACAACACTAGTGCATTCGGGAGGTTCCCCATATGTTTTATTTCTATGCGCGGGAAGTAATATTTCTTATATCAGGGAATGTTTGAACATGCAACCTGTTTGCAGCATGGAGCAGCAGAGCCCAATAACAGCCAAACTGCCGGAATCCCTTGTTCCAACAGCGATCCTCAGGAATAGCGATGGTGCCCAGCCTTGCCTTCAGATCCAAGTGGGGCCGCCCTGTTGGTCTGAGTCCGGTCAGGCCCCTTTAAGACCAGCAACGTTTTATTCACGGTATACTCTGTACCTGAGGAAGTGTGCTTGCACACGAAAGCTTATACAGTGAATAAAACTTTGCTAGTCTTAAAGGTGCCGTGGGGCTCAAACTTTGTTCACACCTTCAGTGCCTTGTTTGGTGTCAGGAAAGGGATTGCTGGGGTTGGGTGGGGATGGATGCTTGCACCCTAATATCGAGACAACAGCCGTTGGGATGAATTCACAGAAGTCAGCCAAACTGGGTTTCAGGGGCACAGAGTGGGATTCATTCCAGCCGCCGAGCTTCCAGTTTTGCTACAGTGGCGAGCTCATCTCTTTCCTGAAGCTGTGAAGGTTAAGATTTTTTTTTAAAAAAAAAACAAAACCACAAATGCACTTCTGAATCTGAAAACTGGCTTCGGATAATCCAAACAACTCTCTGAAGCCTTCCTGAAACTTTAGTGGAGGGTGAATGGAGGCATTCAGCAAGACCATGGCTGCTCATATGAGAAAGGATCCAGGAGGAGCTGATCTGAAACACTGATGCCACCTGCCTGCTGCAGAGACCAGCCCCGTTCCTCCCCCCCGCACTCCCCATGAACGTTCTTAGAGCTTATCTACCCATTACGACGTCCTTCTGTTCACTGTGGAATGACATGAGGACTTTACATCAGATGCACGATAGGCGTTTGGTGCTTCCCACATACACACTAGCTCTATTCTGCTTGTGATCAAAGCTGGTACGAAGAAGCCGCTGTAGTCCCTCTGTCTAGCTGTTTTTGCATTCGCAAGCTGCCTGGTAGAAGTTCTATGTTACTTACGTGGCTACATGGAAATTTCACAGTGAAGGCAAAGAGCAGTTCCACCAGGTGGCTTGCAAATGCGAAAACAGCAGGGAGAAAAGGTGGGTCTTCCTGGTTGCTTTGGCTGGGAACAGCAAAGAGCTGGTGTGTGTGTGGGAGGAGGTGGAAAACTCCCATCTCATACCTGATGCAAAGTCCTGGTGATGTTCCCCAACGAACACAAAAAACTTTGTAATGCATAGATGGACCCTTAGAGCAGCTCCATGCTTTCAGTGGCAACTGCATCAGAAGGCCAAAGCAACTCCAGTGTTCCCTGCAGGGAACATGAAGTATGAATGGTAGGCATGTGCCCTAAAGCACTTTTATGCACATGGCTTACAAACGTGTTTCACGATGCACATCTTCTGTGCACTGGCTGCTGGCTGCAAGAAACACCAGAGTAACAGTGGTGTATCTATGGCAGAAACGACTGTGGCATGAAGTGTAAAGATGATCTTATTTTAAAAAGTTCCCAGAAACAAATTGCAAAACTACTCTTATAGCGCTCAATTGCTGTAGATAGGACATGCAGACCTTTACAGAAATCCTGAGGTTTGCCCGTGATTCAAACTCTGTTGATTGAGTAGGATCCTTCAAAGTGCCTTTAGCAAGAACATCTATCTGCTTCAAAAGCCACTCGGAAAAGGCTTTGCATAACAGCTCTCTCCTCCCTGCCCAACCAACACATTTGCTGGCTGTAGGGCAGAGAACAGAAAATTGCATCCAATTTATGCTTGACTCAGGTTACAGTATCCCAGTGGAGTTTGCAAAAGGCATAAAAGCAGCAGGGTGCTCCTACGTACCACGCAGCTCTGTCATACTCTGCCCAAATCCGGACAAATTCATCAAGATGATGGGGTCCCAAGATGGAGGAATCACGAGTCAGGTATTCAAAATTGTCCATGATGACAGCCACAAAGAGATTGAGCATCTGAGTTAAAGGCAAAAGAGGAACACTTTCCAGAGATGCAGCTATGTTAGTCTGTTGTAACGACAGCTGCGAAGTCTTAAAAGCCAAAAGAATTAATGTGGCATAAGAACATTAGAAGAGTCTTCCTGAATCATACCAGTGGTCCATCTAGTCCAGCATCCAGTTTCACACAGCAGCCAACCTGTTTCTTTTCCCTTACGTTGCCCTCTAGCCCTGAGCTTCAGAAGTTTACAGGCTCTGAATCTGGAGGTTCTCTTTACTTTCCATGACTAGTAGCCATCAATGAACCTGTCCTCCATGAATTTATCTAACTCCATGAAATCTAACATTGGTTGACTAAAATCAACTTAAGTGTGCATGAAGGAAAAAAGAAGATGAAGAAGGGGAGAGATCAGGGCAGGACATGGGAAGAGATACAGAAAAATTACTTTGCAAAAACTGGAACTTGTTGCACAGGTAAGCAAAATCTTTCCTAAACATTCCACGCTGGCCCTGCTGTAAGATGAAGGAGAAGAGAAGAGACTGGATTTATACCCTGCCCTTCACTCCTTTCCCTTCCCTTCCCTTCCCCACAACAGACACCCTGTGAGGTAGGTGAGGCTGAGAGAGCTAACTGTTCTTGAGAGAACAGCTCTGAGAGAACTTGTGACTGACCCAAGGTCACACCAGCAGCTGCATGTGGAGGAGTGGGGAATCAAACCCAGTTCTCCCAGATTGGAGTCTGCGCTCTCAACCACTATGCGAAACTGGTAATCCCTTTGGCAGCTGATCATCACCTGCCTCCTCTGCCGAGCCAGATAGCAGAATTTCAGTGCAATCCAATGTACACCCTTCTAAGCACAATGACGTCAATGGACTTAAAAGGGTGTAAACCTAATATTTAGGACTGCACCCATCAGCATGGAGGAGCCTTCTGGGTTCCTTTGTACACAGTAGAATGCCAGTCATGGGACAGGGGACAATCTGGAAAGCCAAGGGCAGGAAAAAGGGGCACACTCACCAAGAAGGAGCAGAAGAAGATGAAGGAGACAAAGTAAACGTACGCCAGTTCTGTGCCACACCGCTCATTCTCATTCTGCCCAGAAGTCGCCGTGGTGTCTGGCTCACATCCTTTACCTTCCAGGCAAGAAAGCATGATCTCCTGCCACGCTTCCCCCGTGGCACTCCTGCAGGCAAAATAAGTCACACTCTCACAATCATTGCTTACTCCACGGCAACCAGTGGCAGTCCTGATTTGTCCGTTCCTTTTATTTATGCTCCCATTTTTTAGGTTGAGCGCCATTGATGCACAAAACTGAATTCACTGAAATTCGGCAAGAGGAAAATACGAATATAGCTTGAAACAAAAGCAAGGCCAGTTCAAGGCTCTGTGCTGCCCCAAGCGAGGTTCACCCATTGCCTCCTCGGCCTGTGCCAACTGTGCTGCTGCCGAGAACTGAGTGCCCTCCTTCTTGTGTGGCCACGTGCAGCCAACTTGGTTGGCTCGAGAACCGCCCCTGAACGAAAGACTCCCAGGTCAGAGTCACATGAAGGAAAACTGAAAACAGAGCAGGGATTTGGGACTCAAAATAAGGGAAGCTGTGAAATCCAATAGCATCCTTTCTTGTTTAGTGGAGCTCTCTCCCTCTTTCTTTCTCCTATTAACCAACATCAGCTGCTTAATTCCTTCATAACAGACTATACATTGAGAGGTTTCCTAGGTTTGTACTCCTGGCCAATAGGAAGGCAAGCAGTCCTGCCCTCCTCTGGCTCAGATGCTATACCTGAGTCACGGAAGAAGGGCCTCTTCTCCTTTTTTCCGACTCTCCCCCCATCTCACTTAACTTGCTGATGCTTTTTTTATATAGATAAAAGCATTGTTATAATGATATCCTAAGCAGAGTTAGACTCTTCTAAATCTATTAAAGTAAATTGGCTTCAAAGGGGGTAACTTTGCTTAGGACAGCACTATCAGCCTCTGCTACACGGGTCACAGAATCAGAATCATAGAATCACAGAGAGTTGGGAGGGGCCAGGCAGGCCATCTAGCCCCACCCGCCCCACCACTCAATGAAGGATCAGCCCAGAGCATCCCTGACAAGGGTTTGGCCAGCCACTACCTGAAGACTGCCCATTGAGGGGGAGCTCACCACCTCCCTAGGCAGCTGAGTCCACCGCTGAACGACTCTTACTGTCAGAAAGGTTTTCCTAATATTGAGCTGGTACCGCCCCATCCTTAATTTAAACCCATTATTGTGAGTCCCTAATTCTCTGCTGCCAACAGGAACAGCCCCCTGCCCTCCTCGAGGCGACAGCCCTTCAGAGACTTCAAGAGAGCCATCCTGTCCCCCCTCAACCTCCTCTACTCCAGACTGGACATTCCCAAGAAGTCCCTCAGCCTTTCCTCGTCGTAGGGCTTGGTCTCCAGGCCCCCAATCATCCTTGTCGCTCTCCATTCCGTCTATGTCCTTTATGAAGGGAGGCCTCCAGAACTACAGACAAGACTCTAGGTGCGTCCTGATCAATGCAGTGTACAGCGGGACTAGGACCTCTTGCGATTTGGATGTTATGCCTCTGTTGATACCCCCCAAGATTGCATTAGCCTTTTTCGCCGCTGCTTCAGAGCCCTTTTCAGCCTGTGGGCACATTTGGAATTCTGACATAGAGTGGTGGGTGCAGCCAGAAAACGGCTGCTGTGGGAGGCAGAGCCAGCCACACAATGGATGCTGCAGCTTACCTTCAAAGTCACCTAATGAAGACCCTTGTGCTGTGGTGACAGCCTTTGCTATAGCAAGGTTTTTAAAAAGCCGCGCAGCCCATCAGGTCTCCAATGGCTAATCAGAAGTCTTGTGGGGCAGAAGCCCCACCTGTTCCACCCACTTTTACAAAACACTGGGTGGATGGTGGTCAAAGTGCTCCCCCTTATCTCAGGTGTCAACAGTCATCCTAGTTCCACAGCTCACCAATGTGTGAATGCATTTTACCAAACAACCTGGTGCCCTGATTGTTGCCCTGATGAAAGGGGAGGCATGAGGAGCGAGAAGGAGAAACTCTTCCCTGCGTCTGCCCACAGTAGCCATCGCCATAGCTAAGTAAGGGGGTGTTGGAGGTCGAGTTTTGGAAAGCTTGTGGCATTCCCACTGATATCATCAGGGCTATTTTGGGGCAGGAACGGGCAGGAACGCACAGGAACGGAGTTCCGTCTGGCTCCCAAGTTGGCCACGCCCAGCAGGAACTCATTAGCATAACAGGCCACACCCAGCAGTAGAAACTCATTAGAATTGGCTACATTAGGGGTGTGTGGCCTAACATGCAAAGGAGTTCCTGCTACAAAAAAAGCCCTGGGTTTTGACAACAAACAAGGTAAACAGAATAAGAAGCAAAAGGTGGGTGTGGCTGGATGAGCACACTTCTGGTGACATGGGGGTGCGGCCTAATATGCTAATGAGTGGTACAATCAGGGGTGTGGCCTAATATGGTAATGAGCTTCTGCTGCTGGGTGTTGCCTATTATGCTAATGAGTTCCTGCTGGACTTTTTCTACCAAAAAAGCCCTGGATATCATCGTGCACACCACTGCCTTTCCAGTGCTTGGAACGGGGCATGGACATAAACCAAACCAGTTTCTCACTTTCAGGCAAAATAACTCAGTTTATCAAGACCCGTTCCAAACAGCTCAAGGGGATTCGCTGACATCGGCATTGTGCGTGCAATTTCAGCCGCAGTGTGAGGTCTCTAGAGAGGAACAGCCACATTCGAGTCCAGCAGCACCTGAGAGACCAACAAGGTTTTTGGGGTAGGAGCTTTTGAGAGTCAAAAAATACTCCTCCTCCTCCTCCTCCTCTAATTCCCCCCCCTAAGTTTTAAAGCCCCCTTACCTGAAGAGAAGCATGAGTGAACCCAGGAAGCTGCGGAAGTTGTTGTGACGGTTAATGTGGCTCTCTTCATCCAATTTGATATTTCCAAAGACCTGAAGGCACAGAGGAGCAAAAGTCTTGGTGCAATGAGCTTGACAATGCCACAAAGACATCTCAGTTTGCCAAGCCAACTGTGAGGGCAGTGCAAAAGGTGCAGGGCCCTGATCTCCCCCCCCCTCCAGTCTCCCAGGTATGATGACGACACGAGGGCAAAGTACATGACTGTACTTCAAGACGGAAAGCTTCTCAAGAGGCCTGAAGGGGCTTGAGAGAGAGAGAGAGCGGCTCTGGGTGTTGCAGGTTCAGAGGAAGGGCAAGAGCAATGGTCCGAGATGGCTAGGAAAGTGCCACCGAATCACAGCTGATTTATGGTCACCCTGTAGGGTTTTCAAGGCAAGAAAATCAATCAATCAATCAATCAATTATGGTATGGCATTGTGCATAGCGTAGCCAGGAGAGCCTAAGATTGTCTGGCAGCCAGAAGTTTTAGCTCTTTTTTGTGTTATGCACCACTAGGTGGCAAGCTAGACATTCCAGAGGTGTGGTTTGCCATTGCCTGCCTCTGCGTCACACCCCTGGTATTCCTTGGAGGTCGCCCTTCCAAATACTAGCCAAGGCCGACCCTGCTTCGCTCCTGAGATCTGACGGGATCGGGCCAGCCTGGGCCAGAGACCTTCAGAGAGGGTTTGCCATGGCCTGCCTCCATGTAGCAACTCTGGACTTCCTTGGGGGTCTCCCATCCAAGCTGACTCTGCTGAGCTTCCGAGATCAGCTAATGAGATCAGGCTAGCCTGGGCCACCCTGGCTAGGGCGTGTTGCCATGTTAGCGAGGAGACTAGGAGCAAAACTGAAAGCGATGCGCCACCCTCCAGCAATGACGCAACTGGTGACCGTTTCCCAAACCCCAGAACTGGTCTGTGAGCAGGACAGTAAGGCTGAGGTGAACACCGGCCGAGGAAGGGAGCAGAGGCACCAGCAGAGAACCACGTGGGGAGAGTGCCTACAGAGATGCGATCGCATTGTATAAGATACATTGCATTATACTAGATTCTTTGATTGTAGATCCACTGATGGCATTTTTGTGGCATTCCTGTGTCGAACAGTACATTAATGTCTTTCATGGATAAATGTTATTTATCCAACCCTTCCGTTTTCTATGAATGCACTCAGTGTACTCTTTTCTGGTGACACAGTAGAGTTTATATTAGACAAGGACAAATAGCAGCTACTGTGCCTGTCAAATCTGCAGGCAGGAATTCTATGCTTCATTATGATCGCTATCCCGCATTGCAATGGAAGAGGCATTTGCCTCCTGGCTAGATGTATGAGAAATTACAGTAGAATTACCCAGTGCACACGACCAGTTTAGCCCTTCCTACAGGTTAATTCCCTGGGAAGATGAATAGCCTGGTCCAGGATCATGTTAACAATCAGTAATCTAATCTGATCTGGAATATCACATTATGAAATGATCGGAACCTTTGATGCAAACTATGCGATTGATGTTTATATGACAAACAGCAACTAGATTAACACTATGTTCTGACCTCAGATCTTACCCCGAGTTCCTTTACTGGGCAGCAGCAGGGAACACAAGCGTTTCCAGGCATTTTCTTACCTGCATCCCAATGATGGCGTAGATGAAGAAAAGCATTGCAATCAGGAGACAGACGTATGGGAGTGCCTGAAAGGGGCAAACAATGCAAACGGTTGGTTTTGCTATACGCCTTACAGGTTTGGTCTTTCTGTGAAATGTGTGGTCTGGCTCACTTGCTTCAGAGGTCAGGGGTCACCCATCCTTTGCTCTGCTTTTTATTTTATTGTGCATAATCATAATCATACAATCATGAAATTACACTCATGGGATTTTTTAAAAAATGAATGAAATAAGATACATTCAGTATATCAAACTTTTCTTTCCAGCCTCTCCTTGGGGGGGGGGGGGAAACTTGGTTAAGAATATACTTATTTTTCTCTCCTTATGTATAACTAGTCAAAAAGCCCATCGTAGAATGAATACAACGAGCTCTTGTAGAATGAATATAACAGGATCTAGGAGGACTGCGGGGTCGAAGGCCAGCTGGAGAAGCCCCGGGGAGACATTTAAATGTCCCCCCCTGGGCTCCTGTGGCCTTTCCAGCTCGTCTGCCTCGACAGGCAAGCTGGGATGGGTGTGGGGGGCTGTAGCAGGCTTCTCTGGTCGGAGAAACCCGTGGGCTCTGTCACTGTTGTTGGCTCGGAGCACACTGAGTCCGACTGGCTGGCCGCGGCTTCTGTGGGCGGACCCCTCAAGGCAGGCAGCCAATGCAGCCAGCACCTTGTGAGTGGCAGTTCATGCGGCCAACTGATTTTGGCGCGCATAGAACCTTGCCACCCCGAATGGCTTTTATATAATAAGGATTCTGTTTTGATCACCCTAACCCTGAACATTCCAACATGCTCCCAAATCAGTTGGCTCCCTGATCTGTCACTCAGAGGGTCTCCCTATCCACTGGCTGCATTGCCTGAGTCCTGCCGCCAACATTGTAAACAGTTTGCTGTTCCTCTCCCCCCCATAGCCAGTCAGAACACAGAGGTCATCTGCATATGTGGCCTGATTGGCCTTTGCCTCGGAACACAGAGGTCTTTTGCATATGCGGCCTCATTGGCCTTTGCCGCTAACATTCTAAACAGTTTGCTGCTGCTGTTCTGAGGTAAAATGTGTTCTGGGGTAAAATATATTTCCCCTTAATGCCTGTTGGGGGAAACCATTGTTGCCAATCTCCAGGTGAGGGCTGAAGATCACTCAGAATTACAACTGCTTTCCAGATGGCAGAGATCAGTTCCCCTGGAGAAAATGGTGGACTCTTTGTCCTTATATCCTGCTGGGATGGCCCCTGTATGACAGCCAATGTGATGTAGCAGTCAGGGCTTCAGAGCATGGTAGAGGCTGCAGGTGTGTGGGGGAAGCTGAAGAGTGAGGAGAAAATAAAGGTAGGTTGATGATTGGCTGGGAAGGAGAGAGAGTTGCCAACTCCAGGTGGGAAATTCCTGGATATTTGAGGGATGAAGCCTGGAGAGGGTGAGGTTCAGGAGGGGTGGGACCTCAGACAGGTACAATGCCATAGACTCCACCCTCCAAACCAGCCAGTCCCTCATGGGGAACCATTGTTGCCAATCTCCAGGTGGGGGCTGGAGATCACTCAGAATTACAACTGCACTCCAGGAGGGAGGGGGGAGGAGATGGAAAGCTGTCAGAGGGGCAGATCAAGGTAGTTTGATGGTTGGCTGGGAAGGAGTGACAATTCCTTCTCCCCAAATGTGCTTTGAGGATGACAGATTCAGAGCATTCATCACTTGCAAAATATGTTTGTGCGAAAATGTTTTGAGCCAAGCTGCCCATTAATCTCGTGGGTCGACCTTTACCTTGAACGACTGTACAAAGGTCCACAGCAGAATCCGAATGGTGTAACCCTGACGAAGCAGTTTGATGAGACGTGCCGCACGGAACAGTTTCAGAAAGCTCATATTGAAGCGCTGGTATTTACCAACTTGGGGGGGGGGAGGGAGAGGGAGAGAAAAATTAAGGGTTGAAAGGGAAGAAAATTAATCACACTTAACCTTTTGCCTCAAATCTTCACAAAAGAGAAGTAGTAGAAAGCAACGTTACCTTGCTGTCTGTCAAGATAATTTCCGTAATGCTGCCAATCACGGTGATGAAATCGAAGATGTTCCAGGTATCGCGGAAATAGTTCTGTGGGAAGAAAAGCATACAGATGAGACCACAGCTGTGTCTGCCCTAGTTCCAGCCAGATGCCGCCTCCACAAGAAGGAGAGGGCTGCCTCTATGGGAAGGACTCTTCCTCCTCCATTCGCGGGACACAGTCAGTCACAGGGAAAAGAGATCGGGCACCTCAGGGGCAGGATGAGTATCATCATTTCTATAAGGCATTCATTTTCAGCAAGGTAATCGTGAATGGATGACAAAGCTGGGTCTTCACTCAGTTGTCCTGTTTCCAAGAATTTCTGTCTACCAGATCATATGCAACAAGACATTATTTTGCATTTAAGTAAGGAATTGGAAAAGGCTGGTAATCTGTCTCATTTCTCTCCCCCCAATATGATGGTTTCCAGAGCAATTCCAGTGACCCAACATATTTGCAAAAGTAAAGCTCAACAGATCACATGACTTCCTATGATCTTATCAAATGCTTTGCTCTAGAATCAGGCTTCCTGCTTGTAGGATACTCAGGGAGCCCAGCAACAACCCCAAAGTCTCAGGATATCACCCATGTTGGAGAAAGGATCCTGGGCTGGATAAACTATTAGCCTGAGCCAATATTTTTCTTAAGGCCATCATTCAATGGGATGATGTAATCATCTAAGATGTACAAACTATTACATCAGATGACAGATGAAAGAATGCCCTAACAAGTGCAAACTAGATAACCCACCACCTGGAAATTAATACCCAACCTTAAAAATCCTGTAACTCACCAGGAGGCCAAAAGCTATAATTTTCAGGAAACATTCCAGTGAGAAAACCATGGTAAAAGCAATATTCAGGTACTTCAGAGCCAGTTCGTATGTGTAGGGTGCAGAATAGTACTGCCAGAAAGAAAAGAAAGTAAGGCTGCGGTCACACGGAACATTAGCCATGCAAGAGAGAGACGGAAGACAGGTGAATTTTCCGGGCGCGATCTCACCAGCACATCTGGGAAGCGTAGCACTTCCGTGGCACAACCGAGGCTTCCCGGCGAAAACGCGCAGCAAAAAACTAGTACCTCGGAGGTACTAGTTTCCGGAAACCGCGGGGCAAGGGTGGGCATCTGATCGCGTTTCCGGTGGCATCCGGCGCCCACCCATGTCCCCTTGCAAAAAAGGTTCCCCCCCCAAGTCTCCGTGGATACGCACACGCACCCAACGGAGCATGCGCATTTGTCATGTACACAAAAAAAGAAAACCAGTTTGCCGCACCGCGCGCTTCTTCGTTGCGCGCAGGCTTGTCCTGTGATCGGCACCTCTCCCTACCCACGGAACCTCCACAGGACCTCCACAGGAGGTCTGATCGCTTAACCGCGCGTTATTATGCCCCGGGGCAAACAGCAACGCTTCCCCCCCCCCCGCATTTTCCTGCTCGTGTGACTGGAACCTAAGTAATAGAATCCTAATTTCGGCTTGTACTGTATTCCTTTATGGCAAGAACAGCCCTGAAAGTTCCCCTACTGGTGCTGGTTTGCACTTCCCCAGCCAAGTGGCTGTTAAGTCTAGTTAAGCACTAAAGCAAAAACCCAGTTCTGAACATTCTGGAAAAATCAATGTAGGAATTTGCCGGGAGCAGCAAATTCCATCTTGGACCAACTCAGTGGTTTGCTGGACTACTGCTATCTAGTGCAATCACCCTTCACAATTTTTTTATTCACTGTAAAGCCACATGGACATATAAAGATCACGAAGTATGGAAAGTGAGAGCTTCCAACACATATGTGCACAAGTGTATATAACACAGAAAGAAAAAACTGCACACAATACCCATGGAAGAATAGAATAGGTTTAATAAGCCACAAAAGCAACACGTTAAAGGTCTAGCATAAAACTAATACTTAGGCTTCCCAGCTCCATCCTGGCAAATGCCAGAAGATTTGGGAGCAGTGCTTGCAGAGGGGATGTGATAAGACTTCTGGGTGACACTCTAGGAACCCTCCAAATCTCTATGGTCCTTACTATAGAGATAGAGGAAAATTCCTACAGTACCACCATCATATCTGTTATCAGCCCCCCCCCCCCCAATTTTTCCTCCTGCTTCTCAAATCTTCAAGTACGGGGGACTGAGACCAGAGGTGGGTGACTGCTTGCTTGCTACCACTGCTTGCTACCACTGGAATGAGTAAGTATGTATGATATGGTCTAGTTTTAAATTACAGGCTGGGAAACAGCAACAAACTGTTTAGTATATTACATGGCAACGAACCTACATTTGCTCCCAGGACCATGGAGAGCTGCCGCTAGGATACAGACTTGATGGATCGCTGGTCTGACTCAGCAGCTCCACATGGGTTCATATCAGAGGAGTGGGACCTGAGGCACAGGGTGGGCATCCACTTGGGTGGCAATCTTTTTTAAGAAACCAGCTGTCTAATTAAGCAACCACTGCAATTGCCAAGACAATTTTTAAACACCACCTCAAACGTTTGGACGTGGGTGTTCACCTCACCTTCATCATTAGGACCACAGTATTAAGTGCAATCATGGCCATGATGGTGTATTCAAATGATGGGGAGACCACAAAGTGCCAGACTCGGTACTGAAAGGTGTGTCGGTTTTGAGGCATGTAGCGGGTGAGGGGTTTGGCGCTGATAGCAAAATCAATACATGCTCGCTGGAAGAAGGGAGGAAAAAAAGGAAGTCAATGAACTGGCATATTATCAAGATGTTCTAAAACTTTACAAAAGAGAGAACAAGTCCATGCTTAAGTAGTTCTACAGACTTCAGGGAGAACAGGTATCTTGGAGGTAGGCATGCAAAACCTGGACTACAGGTAGTCAAGCTAGCACTTGGTGCCAGAGAGAAAACCAGCAACAAATTGCCTGTGACTGAGGAAACCAACCTGTCTGAGAATGGCCCTCCAGGATCACCTGACCTCCAAGTCTCTTGGTTCTTGTTCCCCCTTCACCTATCAGCAACCTCAGTGGCACAGATTGTAGGGTACCAGTGCCTGATCAGAATTCTGTGTCAGAATTCCAAAGGAGCCCACAGCCTCAAAAAGGACCCCTGCCCTAAGGTAACACTGTATTGGAATCATGATGTCAACAAGCTGCATACTACTGTGTACATGGAAGGAGAGAAGTGACAAGGAAATAATAGACCTTAACCAATGCCCTCAATTTGTGTGCAGACAATGAATTTAGAAGTTTAGCACAAATACCTTTAACTGGTAGGCTTAAGATGTGCTTATGTGACACAGGAAAGTATGTTTATTGCACCCTCACCTCTCAGAGCTGGAAAAGTCTGAATCCAAAGGTTGGAAAAGGTTTGGAAGGATACATCTAGGGGTGTGCAATGAAAAAAAATCGGTATTATTCAGATTCGGGTCTAAAAACCCGAATTCGTTTGGTACACACGAATATTCCTGGTATTTGGGAAATACTCAGGAATCCCAAATATATTTCTCCATTATACCCTATGGGCTTGTATTGCCTTCCTATTTTTTTCCAATTGGAAACAATGGAGGATGGGGTCACCTTATTTGGGTGCCCACAGAATTGGACCCCCTGATCCAATCTAATTGAAACTTGGGGGTCCTTTTGAGGAGAGGCTCCAGAAACTATGGTACAAATGTGGTGCCTCTACTTCAAACCCCTCCCTCCCAGACCACCAAATGTACCCTAAGAGATTTGCCATTAACTATAATGGCCCCATAGGGTATAATGGAGCCGAATAATAGCTGAATAAAGCTGAATAGTATTTGGAAATCTCTATTCAGCTACCAAATAGATGCTCTGATTTGGTATTCGGCTGAATGAATACCTGAATAATACCAATAAGGCACTATTTGGGTATTTATTTGGCTTAGTATACACCGAATGTACACCCATAGATACACCTGGCCCCCAATGAATAAAAGGACTGTCTTTCCCACCAAGCCTCCTGCCAGTTTGTTCATATTACCTCATTCTTCTCCAAACTGCACTCCTCCATCATCTTGTCCCCTTGTTCCTGGAAAGTGATGATGATGAGAGCCACAAAGATGTTCACAAAGAAAAAAGGAAAGACGACAAAATACACCACGTAAAAAATGGACATCTCCATGCGGTTGCTGCGGCTAGGGCCACGGTCCTCCTCGGTCACATCCACTGAATGTTGCAAGACCCTGGGGCCGTAGTGGGGGGGGGGAGAGAGAAAGAGAGCATGAAGGGTCACCTGCTAATGGCACATCCATCCTCAATGCTGACGCCAATGATAGCTTTACTAGGAGAACATTATGAATGTTAGAGCATCTCTCTCTTTAAGAAGCTGATCTATACATGCATCAGAATCACATAAAACTTTTTTTGGATTTCCACAGAATGGGGGGTTGTACATTTGAACGACTCTCCCTTCCATGAACATTTTTACAACATGCTGCAGATTTTCACATGATGGAGAAATACATGACCTCTTTCCCCATTGTTCTTTTTTGCTAAATGTAATTAAAAAGTTAACAATTTCTTACTTGAAGTGGGTACGGTTCAGGATAAGGAGCACTGTTTGAGTTTGCATCACAGATTGATTGGCTCTGATGGTTTGTCCCTGGGTTGGGAAATTCCGCTGACTGTATATGGGTCAACTAGTCTTTCAGGTCTCTGTAATGGGGTGGTAACTTGGCTGAGATACCTGGCCCCCGAATGAGTAAGTATCTCCCACTCCATTTCATTATTGTTCTGTGGTTTTCTCTCAGGTTATCCACCAGTTTAACTACGGCCCCGGTCACACGGGAGGATTTGCCCTACAAGAAGGACGGATCAAGGGCACATCAAGCGAGCGCGATCACACCACAATCTCTGGGAAGCAGCGCACACCCATGCCCGATCCGTCCCTTCAGCCCACAAACTCGCATCAAAAAGGTAGTAGCAACAGAGCACTACCTTCCGGATGGTGCGCGGCAACGGAAGACGTCTGGTCGGGGAAGCGCTGGTAGCCCATCGCAGCCAGCGCCGTTCCCCATACCACGCATGCGCACAACCATGCTACTGCCGGTTTGCTGCACAACAGTGTGATCAGCTGCTGGAGCAGGGAGCACGGAGCCGCGGGGCACGTCGGTTCGCGCTCCCACGGTTCTTTTTGCTCCGGCTCTAATTTGTCTCCCTTTGGCAGCGGATCATCCCGCTCGTGTGACTGGGACCTAGGAGAATTTCTAAACTTAATATATAGCTGGACACAGTTTTCAGTTCACATAACTTCATAGATTATTGTTAGACACAATTGCAAACAGATGGTCATGCATTAGAACACTGCACAGAGAGGAATCTTGATGAGATTGTATTAAGATTCCTTTTTGTGCAGTCCTGCACATCCAGGGGCAGGTACACTTACACGCATTGGTAAGATGTGCACTAGTAACATATGTACACCCCAACATAAATTAGAAGCCACCAAAACGGTGAGCAAATATGATGGATTGAAAAACTCTAGAAATCCAAAACAGAGGACCCCTGGACCCTGACTGGGTGGTAAAGTGGCATTAAAATGTTTTAAATAAATACACAGTGGATTCCTAACGTACTAATGCAGTTACGTAAATACATATCAGATCCCCTCCTCCAAACCTGGGGAGAACTTTGTAAGCATCCCTAATCTGTTCCCACAGCCCTATTAGCAGAGGTCATTTCGGGGGGGATCACGGGGGATCGCAGCTCCCCCGGGTGAGTTGCAGGGGGCGGGGCACATGATGAAGCCCCACCCCTTACTTCCGGTGATGTCAGGGGGTGTGGCATATGCTAATGAGTTATGCTAATGAGTTCCCCTAGCTCTTTTTCTACGAAATGACCCCTGCCTATTAGTCTCTTTAAAAAACAGGGCCGGATCCGATGGAAATTTCTGTCAACATCAATTCTTCCCTCTTGCGGCAGACCTCTGAATGCCCCCCCCCCCAATGTTGGGAAGGTGCCCTGCCCCCAGGAGCAACATTTCAGGGGACATTTGGGGCTGCAGCAGAAGGGGGAGGCAGGGAAGTCCTGCTCTGATTACAGAAGTCTCTTTTGCCTGCAGAGATTTTAGCAGAGGATCCAACACAAAGGCAGATATCCCATCACTCCTCTGCTTAGCAGAGTGCAAAGCCTTCTTTCAACCTAAGAAGCTTTCTTCCAACTTAAATAACTCTTCCACCAGGGAACCACTGGGTACATGCCACCGGTTTAAATGTGTTGCCTCTTGGTCCCATTTTTTAAAAAATCATCTTTTCAGGAGTTCCTTCATTAGTGGAACAGTTTAAAGCTGAGACAGTCTGCTTCATTTCTAGTATAATGAGGGAGGGCCAAAGAGAATACTCACTGTGGCCATCCTTCTCCAGTGGAGACCGTAAAGAGTGTCAGCAAAGCCCAAATGATATTGTCGTAGTGGAACTCGTGGCGCTTCCATTCTCGACACTTTACCTCCATCGTGTTTTTCTCATGGTCCACATAGTTGCCTCTATAAAGTGAGAAGAGACCATTAGCCTTTCTTTTTTTAGAGAGAGAGATGGAAGGGGTTTGATTGAGTGTGGGGAAGGTGTCAAAAATGGACAGGAAAAGGGAAAAAGAACAGGGTTTGCCTCCATCACATGCAAAACGGGTTATGCTTTTACAGCCACAGTGCAACATGGGTGTGCACCTAGGGATGCTAAAACCTGCCCCTACTCAGAGCTCCGCCCCACTTCAAAGTTTCTCCTGATGCCATTTCTCCTTCAGTTGGGCTTTGATACTGGAAGACAGAACGTCTGTGGGTAGAGGCGACAGGGAGGTTTAAGCAGCAGTTCAGTAAAAGGAGTTCTCCCCCCTTTGGACACAAAAACTGGTCCCCCTACTTCATAAATAGCAGAAGGAGACATGGGCTTAAAGAAATGGGGTCTGCCGGCATCAGGGTGAGTGTGTGTCAGTCTCTCTGGCCCCCCAGAGGGAATGACTCAATATTTACTTGCTGGTAAATCCATCAAACTGATAGAACTTGTGGCTGAGTATTTGGTTATTGTGTTGAATAAGGGTAATCATGTTTCTAAGGCTAAGGCAGAGAATACTTGATAAATTTTGCTCTTTTGTGTTGTTATTCTTTGACACTGTTTTATTGTCTGACTTGGACTGTATTACTCCCATCTTGCTTTTATTTATGTAAGACTATTTTGCATTTTATTACATTTTATGCCATTAAAGTTGAAACTGATCTGTGTGTCAATCAAGCTGAGAAACACTGGCTTGCCTAAAGCCCACCTGTGGAGTGGGCGTTTGGAACCAGTGACTCTGTCAGCTCCCCACCTTAGCAACCACCATACACCACCTCAGCACAGAAAATGAACTCTGATTCAGAAGTGGAATGGAACATTGAGGATGAGCCGCTCCCCCCCCCCCGGTCTTTTTTCATTATAATATCCCACAATAACAAACATTCATAAGCTAGGCTGATGGCATGGTACAAATAACAGCGATAGCAATTTCCCACTTTAAGGTATCCAGTCTCACAGTAGTAGGTTTGAAAATGTAATGACAAAAAATGCAAATGAATCAACGGGGGGGGGGGGGGACTGACGGACCAGATTGATCTGAAAAGATGAAATTGCATGATATTTTGCAACTTCCCTAATTTCAAATACATCCAATAAAACCCACATTTTCGGCATTTCAGGATAAGTGGATTGTCTACGGCAACGCAGCATGCCCTTCCCAAGTGTAATCAGGCATCTGCTACGTTTATGAGAATGACACACACATTCTTAATTATGCTTAAACGGCATTTTCAACTTAGGTTCGATTCCTCATCTTAGATTTCTGGCCTGGCTTGTACTGCCGAATGATCTGCCCAGTGTTGGGTTCAATATTAACATTAATTCCTACTAAAGAATTTAAAAGATAACTGAAAGCAACAAGAATGGCCCAGGAGCAACCTTTGATTTCATGCACTGGTGAAGTGGATCAGAATTCCGATTACAAAAGATCTCTCAGTGACACGGCGGTCTTCGGAGGCTGCACAAGATGCTGTACTTTGGAATGGACGTTCACAATGCGCACTATTCTCCCACGGCTGGCAAATTATAATTCTCTCTCTCTCACACACACACAAACATATATTATGAAACACTGTGATTTCAAAGTCAAAAAGGGCATCTGCTCCATGTGAAAGGAAAAGGGAAAGATAAGTAGATGCTCTTCTGAAGATTCCTGTTTACTAAACTGCAGAGCGGGCAAGGAAGTCATGCTTAACATGCAGAGGCCCTAAGAAGGGGCAAATGCAAATTTACAGATTGTTACCCGGTTGGTTTAATGATTTTATTGTAACGTTTCCCTTGTGAGATACCTTGGGCAGGTCCCTGGAGAGGATGTGTATCCACGTTCTAAACAGATCAATAATTCTAAGCTGGTTTCCCAACTGGGTCTGCATTGGTTTTAACCTGAGGCTGTGAGGACTAGAACGCAGAACCCTTGGACTGACTGATGCTCCCCTGTGTAGTTCAAAAGTCAGAGGGCCCTCCGGACTCTATGTGTTCTCAGGCTCCAGAGCGAATCTGACTCCCCCCCCCCATGCAGCCCATTGGCAGCTCCTGATCTGAAGGGAATATGGAAGTTTCTAACAGGGCGGTCCTAATGCAGCGTTCCTTAGAAGGGCATCACTTTGCTTAGGACTGCAATGCAAGCCAGGCTGAGACGTTGCCTGAACAACAGCAGCTTCAAGTAGCCTACCAGGCTGACCAATTGGTCTAGCCCAGGGGCCACCAAACTGTGGCTTGGGAGCCCGGCAGGGCGGCTGGGGAAGCGAAGGGGAGGCCTGCCTTCCCCATCGGTCTTCCCTTCCCCAGCCAGCCTTCCCCTCCCTGGGTAGGCTTGAGGTGGGCGGGGGGAGCAGAGAAAGAAAACAACTTTAACTTTAAATACGTTCTCAAAGTCCTCCCCACCCCGCCTACAAATATCATTGGATAAATAAGGCCCCTGCCACACGGGGGGGGATGCGCGGCCAAAGTGCATCTTTTGGAAGCCGCACCAAAATAGACACGCCGCAGCGGGATCACACGGATCCCCTGAGCCGCGGTGCCGTTGCTCCCCGGCACGATCAGATGCCGGGGAGGAAGCCATGGTCGGAAGACCGAGGCAGCCGGCTGCGCATGCGTCCACATGCGCAGTTCGGCCAGGAGCTGGGGATGCGCTGGCAGAAGGATGCGGTAAGACCACCTCTGTCGTTGGTTCTTTTTTGCTGCGGGGTTTCCGGGGTTAGGGACGGATCGGGGACAGGTGCGTGCTGCTTCCCAGATGTTGCGGTGAGATCGCGCCCGTTTGCTGCGGCCCCGATCCGTCCCTCTCCCGGGCCAAAACCCTCCGTGTGACCAGGACCTAAATATCATTATCAGTATCTGTTTTTAACCCCATTTGTTTTTATTTTTGGCAGTCTCGTTTAATGTTAATAACAAGCAAATTTGCATAGTTTTCGATAAAAATGTGTGTAATCCTTCTTCATGTCTTGAGGCTCTCAAACATCTGATGTTTATAATATGTGGCTCTTACGTTAAGCAAGTTTGGCCACCCCTGGTCTAGCCTCTCTGGCCCTTGACACATCATCCTTCCTCTGCCTATGTCCAAGTATGGCAGCTTGCTAGAACTCTCTGAGGAAAAACGGTGGCCACGTTTCATCTGTGTATGCTCATTGCATGCATTTTTAAGTGAGATAGGGAGCCTGGAGGACCATTTCCTCTCTCTTAAGACCCTCTTCCCAAGACCTGTTCTCTGGGCCCGCGACTACAGAGATGAGGTGCACAGAGAGCAGGCAGGGCTTTTTCAGTGGTAGCACCTCGCCCGTGGAATGCCTCACCCCTGGTGGTTCACCCGGTGCCCACCTTACTGTCTTTTAGGTGGCTAGGCCAAAACGTTTCTACATAACCAGGCTTTTCACTGAGGGGGTCCCCTCTTTTTCACCTGCTTCTGAAGTATATTTCTAGCCTTAGGGTTGTTTTATGAATATCATTTGAGACTGCTGAATGTTGTTTTACGCTCTTTTAATATTCCTTGCCTGTTCTCATGGTTTACTGTCGAGAATCATTAATGCAGTTGTTTTATGATGCCATTGTATTGTTTTTACTATGGGATCTCCCTCAGGCTGGTGCCTGGAGAGGTGGCAAACACATTTTCTGAATTAAATAACACCAGGGGACAGAAGGCCGTGGTCACACTGGCGGCTTGGCGTGATATGGTGCCGCTTCTAAATGAACCGGTTTAAAGTGTTGCGGGGCATAATCAGCCACACAGCACACCCTGCTGCAGGTTACCCACGGAGACATCCCATGGTAAAGCATCCACAGTATTGCAACGCCTCAGCCACAGAGCGCACTGCAAATTTCCCCCCAAAATTTATGCGCACAGATAAGTGTGCCTGCACACACATGTGCGCATAGGCAATTTTTTTAAAAAAAACCCACCTTCTTAGCGACAGAACGGATCTGCAGGTTCAGACTGCCAAATCTGTTCTCCATGCGCTCCCATGCGTTCGGACATCCAGCCATGCGCAATGACTGCGAGGGAAATCAAGAACCACCACTTGTGATGTGGTGCCTTTTTAACCTGGCTCCAAGGCATCCTATGACGGGATACGTATGGCTATGGCTGGGGAACACCTGACAGATGTGGCTGTCTGGCTGCACCCATTTGATCCGGAGGGGAGGGGTGGCTGTGTCGGGCCAAACTGCCCGTGTGACCACGGCCAAAGTCACTCAATCTGTGACTGACAAAATCGGATACCGACCAGTGTCAGAGATTACAGGATATGGTGCAGACTAACCGTGATCCTCCCATGATTTTGCAGAGAGGGTTGCAAGAGGACTGTGGGGCCTCATGTTTTGGGGAGTGACTCCATGAGCTCCCAGTTCTGCAGGGCCTGCAAGACGGAGCTCTTCCGCCAGGCTTTTGAGTAGGAGCCGCCGCCCTACTATACCACCACCGCCATTGAACCTAGAGGACGTTTGCGAGGCCCTGAGAAAGAACTTGGGAATGGTCAGAAGATTCTGGAGAAGAACTGAGCTGAGCCATCTTGGACTTATGTTTAATAAGTGATTGAGCACCATTGTTTTAATGTTTGGATGTTTTTTACTATGTATCATATGTTTTAATTATGGCTCGTTTTTTTCCTAGCCTCTGTGAGCCACCCTGAGCCCATTGGGGAGGGCAGGATATAAATGCGAAAAATAAATAAATAAATAAATAAATGTTCCTTCCAGAGGCTTGGGAGCTTCCAGTAATCAAATGGGAGCTGGGTGGGCGGAGCCAGTCCCCAAAGGGCAGCTTGCACAAAAATTACAGCTTTTCCAAGCAGTACTTGGGTGGGGAAACCCCTCCTCTGAGGTCTTCCCACAGCAAACCACCACCACTGCCCTAAACTATAACTCTCCTTGCAGGGCAAAAATATGCCATTACCTCTGTTCAGGGCTATTTTGGGGCAGGAACGCACAGGAACGGAGTTCCGGCTGGCTCCCGAGTTGGCCACGCCCAGCAGGAACCTCATTAGCATAACAGGCCACGCCCAACAGCAGAAACTCATTAGGATTGGCTACATTAGGGGTGTGTGGCCTAACATGCAAAGGAGTTCCTGCTACAAAAAAAGGCCCTGGGTTTTGACAACAGACAAGGTAAACAGAATAAGAAGCAAAAGGTGGGTGTGGCTGGATAACCACACTTCTCGTAACATGGGGGTGCGGCCTAATGTGCTAATGAGCTGTGCTGTCAGGGGGTGTGGCCTATTATGCTAATGAGTTTCAGCTGTTGGGTGTGGCCTATTATGCCAATGAGTTCCTGCTGGGCTTTTTCTACAAAAAGAGCCCCGTCTCTGTTTCCCTGGAAGAGGCAAGCAGCAGCTTTGATAGAGGGGGAAACAGTCAATAGTCCTGTGTAGAGCAAGGGTATGGACATGTGTGTGTGTGCCTGCAGGAGGAAAAAGAGGAGGGCTAGACAGGAAGGGGGGCTGGTGCTGCCATTTTCCCGTCCAGAGCAGAAAGAGAGGAGAGAAGCTTTTGCGGCACCTTTAAAGGGAAGGTGCAACCACCGGAGGAGGGGAGGAGTCGGAGTCGGATTTATACCCCACCCTTCACTCGGAGCCTCAGAGTGGCTTACAATCTCATAAGAACATAAGAGAGAAGCCAATGCTGTATCAGGCCAAAGGCCCACCCAGCCCAACACTCTGTGTCACACAGTGGCCAGAAATACCAGTGCCATCAGGAGGTCCAGCAGTGGGGCCAGGACATTAGAAGCCCTCCCACTGTTGACCCCCCCAAGCACCAAGATGACAGAGCATCACTTGCCCCAGAGTCCCTATCTATACCTTGTGGCTAATAGCCACTGATGGACCTCTGCTCCATAGGCTTATCTAATTCCCTTTTGAAGCCGTCCATGCTTGTAGCCGCCACCACTTCCTGTGGCAGTGAATTCCAGGTGTTAATCACTCTTTGGGTGAAGAAGTACTTCCTTTTATCCGTTCTAACCCGACCACTCAGCAATTTCATGGAGTGCCCACGAGTTCTTGTATTGTGAGAAAGGGAGAAAAGTACCTCTTTCTCTACCTGCTCTTTCCCATGCATAATCTTATAAACCTCAATCATGTCACCCCTCAGTCGTCCTTTCTCCAAGCTAAATAGCCCTAAGTGCCTTAACCTTTCTTCATAGGGAAAGTGTTCCAACCCTTTTATCATTCAAGTTGCCCTTTTCTGCCCTTTCCCCAAAGCTATAATATCCTTTTTAAGGTGTGGTGACCAGAACTGCACACAGTATTCCAAATGAGGTTGCACCATTTATTTATATAAGGGCATTATGATATCACCTTCCTTTCCTCTCCCCACAACAGACACCCTGTGAGGTCGGTGGGGCTGAGAGAGCTCTTTCAAGAACTGCTCTCGAGAGAACAGCTCTGAGAGAACTGTGACTGACGCAGGGGCACCCAGCTAGCGGCATGTGGAGAAGTGAGAAATCAAACCTGGTTCTCCAGATGAGAGGCTGCCACTCAGTCTTAACTACTACACCAAACGGGCTCTCAGCACCGCTTTCAACCGTTTGGAGAGTGACTGGTCACTCCTGAGTGACTTCCAGACCACCCCTGCTTTCAGGAGTACTCACATGCAGTCTTTCTCCGTATCCTTTGAGCTGTCTGTACAGTAGAAGAATTTGCCCTTGAACAGCTGGACGGCGATGACAGCAAAGATGAACATGAAGAGCTTGTACACGATGAGGATGTTGAAGACGTTCTTCAGTGATGTTACAACGCAGTCAAATACAGCCTATGGCAGTTGGGGGGGGGGAGGCAAAACCAGAAGGAGTAATTCATCGTTATCAGCTATGTTTTTGTCAAAGAAGACGTAAAGGGCCTCAAAACTAGCATTCGTCACAGCATTTTCATCACCATATCAAGACAAACAACATGTTCAGAAGGCAAGGACATCAGCAACATCTGGACCATTCATAGTATCAGGCGTTCTTTACAATCATGAGAGCGTAAGTAGCCACAGTGGTCTGTCGAAGATTCCATTCTGTGGGCCAGCATGATCTGTGCTTTATTGTAGGAAATACTAAATCAAGCTAGGAAAAGAGCAGGATTTTTCTTTTCTGTATTTTTCATATTTGCAAGGGTCATTTCCTGTGGAGCTGCACAGGAGTGGAGCTCTGGCAGTAAAGAGGCCAGGGAGCGGGCACATGCAATAAGCCCCACCCCCTGCTCCCAGCAGCCCTCAGAAAGGAAGGAAGGAA